AAAATTTATAGAATTTGTATTTTTTTTTTAGTGAAGTATTAAATAAAATGGAATTACATATATAATTATGATTAATGATGACAATTACATATGACATACAGTTTTTATATTTAAAAAATAAATAAATAATCAATTGGATAAAGGCGATCATTTAGGTGGTCATTCATTATTTAAGTATTAAACAGAAAAATTGCATAATATCATTAATAACTTGATTATTCAGTATTTTATATTAATATTTAAGTGAAGTCTTTTTGTTTCTTGATTTTAGATCTATTACTTATTCCAGGTTAAAATTTGTTCATTTACATAAATTTCACATGAAATTTTTATATTTGAACAATGGATATCATTTTTAAATTTGAATCTTTTGTTCATGTTCAATTTTCCTCCAGTGTTGCTCTTTTGGTACATGATCATATTTTCATATTCTCCTGAACTATCCTTAACAATCTTAATTCTTTTGCAAGATCAAAAATAAAAAATTGGGAAAAAAATTTTTAAAAAGAAGTACAATCTTAATTCTGTGTAAAAATAAAAAATGAAAATAAAAAATAAAAAAGATGTCGTCATTATCGGCTGACTTACAATATCTTTTACAAAGCTTTTACAAACATATTCATCTTTCAAACAAGCTTTTTTTTTCATCTTTTTCTCTTTCGTTACATCAATTCTAAATGCTTCTGAATTTTTTTTTTTGCTTGCTTTTGCAAGTTTTGTTATCAGCAGGAATTATCGGAGCTTTTTTCAAACGATTGGAATTTTTTTGCTGTATTGAAAAAAAAGCAAAAGTATAAATTTATGGATAACTTCTGATAATAAATTTTTGTCATTTCACAGCTATATTTTTACAGAAAGAGAAAAAAGGAAGAAGAATGAAAGAAAAAGCTGCTAAGAAGAAATGTTGCAAAATACTTTATTTTTAGTATTTAAAAATTTGTTAATTTGAAAAAGAAGGGAAGAAAGTCTTCATTTATTTTTGAAATTAAATAAATTTTTTTTTTTTATAATTAAATATGACCTTTTTTTTGTAGGAGGTTATATTGGAAAAATCAAAAAGTTGTCCACGTTTGGGTTTAAAATTATATTACGGTACTGCAAACGAGAATGATACCGATGTATTCATTGGAGAGGTTACTTGATATTTATTTTCTTATAGTTAAGCGAAATGATAGATAAGAGTTGAAATTGATATAGCTTTATTCATTCAGCAAATGAGATCTAAATAATCTTTCATTTCTTGGTCAATAAATAATTATTTTTCATATGATAATGCTTATTGATAATGCACGGACATTAAAACCAATAAATGATATGTTGATAAAAATTGATGGCAAATTTTTTCTTATTATTCTATACTTTCTTTTGCTGATAATATAAGAAATTGAAAAGTAAATCGAATTTCATGCTTTGATATTTGCAGAAAGTTACTGACTAATGATGGAACATTTAATCTTTGGACTATTAAATTTTTAAAAATTCATTATAAATTTAATAGCATAAGTTTTTTAGGTTGAAAGTGGAAGTGTAGCAGATCGTGATGGGCGTCTTAGGCCCGGTGATCAAATATTACAGGTTTGTACCTGTCTTTTTCATTTTGAAAGGGTGAGAACGAAACGAAAAAAAGAGTTTTTAATTTTTCTTTTTCTTTTCAAAATTCAATGCAACAATTACTGAAGTTAAAATAAAGGCAGAAGTAAAAA